GGACTAAACGGGACGTGGCACATGCACACTTTCTTACGGCTTGCGCTTCGGGTTTACTTCCCCCCTTTAACCACCTCGAGTTCATGGTATATACTAGTTCACTGTATTCATGGCTATGCGGCCCAACGCTCGCTAAACCTTTCTAAAACCAAGGAAGTTACACCCAGCGAGTATAACGTAGCAACCCTTTCTTGTCAGATCGTGCTCAATGTGCATGCCAATAGCTGCTAACGGGGATCGCAGCGTGCGCGTTACCTAAAGGCCGAATGCTCCTGTCTCTCATTCCCCCTTAGCAGCCATTAACATGTGCATTGAGCACTATCTTTTATTGTTCAACAACGCACAGAAGAAATCTCTCACCGGAACCACCTTGGAGCTCAAAATCGTAAGGACCGCTATTTCGGGTATGTGCCACTGGTGGTTACGTACTACGAGAGACGCACAAGCCACGCCATAAGGAGCTTCGCCCCTAAAAGAGACAGGGACATGAAAATTTAAGCTACGCGTATACTAATAAGAATAGTTACTGTTGGGGTGAAGCCTTCCGAAGCCACGATGTGACTATGAGAGACGCTGTAGTGTTGGGCTCCTAAAATTCCGGTCCCCTGGCTGGCTTTTCATTTTTTAACGTGCACTAGGTATAAGTTCACGGACCTCGAACATTTTCGCCTCCACCGAAAACGGGGCCTCTGCGACCGGAATTCGATCTCGCCACATGCCTGTGAGCAGTTGAGGACTGTGACCTATACAACGCCGCGGCGCGTCGCAAGCATAGACTGGTACCGGAATGTTAATAATAATAATAATAATAATAATAATAATAATAATAATAATAATAATAATAATAATAATAATAATAATAATAATAATAATAATAATAATAATAATGAAAATAATAATAATAATAATAATAACATTTATTATTTTATTATTATTATTATTATTATTATTATTATTATTATTATTATTATTATTATTATTATTATTATTATATTATTATTAATAATGAACCTGGATTATCAAGGGCCAAAACAAAGATTGATTATGAGACATGCCGTAGTGGATAGCTGCGAAAATTTAGACCATCAGTTGTTGTTTAACGTGCACTCACATCGCACAGTAGGCGGGACTCTGCCATTTCGCCTCCATCGAAATACGACTGCCGCAGCTAAGATCAAACCCAGGACCGCAGCAACCGCTACAGCCTTACACCACCGCGCCGTACAAAGTTTGAGTGCGAGAAATGACGTGGTAGAAAGAAACGCGCGAACTACAGGGTCGCGATTGGACAGTAAACCTCTGTATTTTGGTTTGTGTCCCAGTAAGAAGTTCTCGATCATGTAGAGCCACCCTATTAGTCTGATTCGCTCGCAGGATTTCAAGCTGGATGGTTGTGCCCTCGCGATCTCCGACGCCAGCGTAGCTCCCGCCGACTGGTTCGCCCTCCGCGGTCTCCTGACGCCGTGCAGCTCTCGCATTGTCGCGCCCCGCCCTTGGACTGCTCCAACCGGATCCCCACTTTCCTATTTCCTTCTTTTTTCCGTCGCTTGCCTGTCTATTTCTTCATCTATTTTCCTTCTATTCTTTGTATCCTTCCTTCCCCCCACCCCTATAAGGCACTGTGCCGTGTCGCCTGAAGGCAGACAGAAATTAGGTGCCTTTTTCCTCTTCCTTCTAACCAATACCCCCCCCCCCCCCCACCACCCTATTAGTCCATCTACGAGCTGTGTAATACTGACCTGCTGCTATAATTTGGGAAAGTACCTTGTCTTGTTTTGATCAACGTCTGCTGTTTCTAGAGCTTTGCGGTAATCACGTAATATTCCGGGACAATGTTGACAATGAACGTTTGGATGAATGCCGGTGTAAACAGCTTGCAATGGTTTGTCGAAATATGTGGCAGAAACTTGACAGCTTGCGAACGATAGGCTGCGTGCCCCGGTTGATTGATTGATATGTGGGGTTTAACGTCCCAAAACCACCGTATGATTATGAAAGACGCCGTAGTAAAGGGCTTCAGAAATATTGACCACCTGGGGTTCTTTAACCTGCACCCAAATCTGAGCACACGGGCCCAAATCACCCGTGCACCCAAATCTGAGCACTCAGGTGGTGTCAAACCGTTGCTGCTTTGTCACAATTTAGAAAGCTCACAGTCTTGCCAACGCCCGAATGAACAGCGCTTTCCTCTTTTCGAGAGTTGAGCGTTGGGCGAGTTTGTGTTTTGCCATGGAAACAATAACGAGAGCGCAACTACACAGGGCACACGAGAAAGAGAAGACAAGAACAGTTCTCGTCTGTTCCTACTCGTGTGTCCTGGTTAGTTGGACTGTAACGATGGTTTCCATTTCTCTTTTCCTTCCTTTTGCTGTGTTCATAGTTGGCCGCGGTTGTTTTTTGCGTGAGGCGAGCAGACATTCTGGGCTGAAAACTGGCGATGAGGTTTGACAACTACACACGCAAACGCGTTTCGACGTGAAAACAACGAGGTGACTGAATGATAACGTCGAACTACGAGAGACAAGCACTCGCATGCAGTTACATGACCGACTTGCATCGCTGATAAATAAGCCTGGCTATATTCAGCTACGAAGAGGCAGCTTTCCTTATAGTACTTCAACCTCCAGTCAGAAAAAGTTAGCAAACTGACAGAGCCCCGACTGATGCGAATATTCCCTTGCAGCTTGTTCAGTAAACATACGCGATAAATTGTTCGAGTGTGCGCTGATAGCAGCGAGTGGTCAAGCAATGTAAAAAAACTGCAGAGGAGAAATAGCGCGCACACTGATGTATTGTATATTAAAGTTAAAGAAAGAAAGCCAAAACTTGTTACAGCATCAGCACGATGGAGTCCAATTAGCAACATTATTAAAAAAACTGATGGTTTTGGGAAAATGAATTATACCATACATAAACGAATTCTATATGTCTGTGTACGTCTGACGCGGCCCCCGCGATAGTATTAACTACATATGTTATGCCAAAGCCAGTTTTCCGAATGAAAAAAAAATAAAGTTTTATTGTCAACTATAACAACGTGGAGTATTAATTGCTTCATTTTAAACTTCCTGTGAGCTTCATCCGCGGGCTTGGGCATGTACTTAATCACAAGAAAAAGCAGGCGCAAGAACATTTAGGTTCCTGGCCAGTCCTAAAGCCTGGGTGTGTGTTACAGATTCAATTATCTGCCCTACTCTAACAGTAAGCAGTCTAATTGTGTTGGTTAACGAAATGAGGTTCTAAGCTGCGCCAATAAGACAGCCTGAAAAACAACACTCAAACACACACACACACACACACTCAAACACACACACTCAAACACACACACACACACACACACACACACAAACACACACACACACACACACACACACACACACACACACACACACACACACACACACACTGTGCTTGTGCATGCTTATGTGTTCGTGTTTTTGCCCAGTCTTGTTCGCAGTTGAAAACGCTTTTGAAACCATGAAGCAACTAACCTAACAGCACGCCTTGCAAACAAAATAGCGCTATAGCTATTTCAAATATTTCAATAGAATTCATTTGAAGCACCCGAACAGGCGTCATCACAGAATGCAAATGCGGTGCAATGCGAATCACTAAACGAAAACAACTCTACTGTACCTTCTCGGAGTGTCAGCGATTTATCTGTGAAATGGTTCCACGCCTCTCTTGGATGCCGAAAAAAGAAAAAAAGAAAACTGTAACGCGATAGAACGCGAAATAAATCGCCTGGTTTATTTTTATAAGAACGGCGAAACGTTCATCCAGGTAGTCCCGCCCGCTTAGATTGGTTGAAGCATGCTATAAAAAATGGATTTCATTGTCTAAATACTTGGGAGCTTTAGGATAACGTACGGTAAGTGAGCATTCATTGCGGTCACCTGCGCGACGCATGCGCAGTGGCGATAAGCGTTTATACAATGCGTTGTGTACGTTATTCAAAAGCTCTGTCTTCTTTCTGTTCTTTTTATTCGCCTGCGTATTGACGCATGCCTATCACGCATGACAATGACTACGCAGAATTCCAGGTGCAAGGGCACCTCGAGTAACTGACTCGAAAAGCGTTACATCGAATTTTAATATAACTCTCAGGTCGCGGGATTGAATGCCGGCTGCGGTGGCTGCATTTTCGATTGATGTGAAAATGCTGTAGGCCCGTGTGCTCAGATTTGGTTGGCGTTAAAGAACCCCATGTGGTTCAAATTTCCGGAGCACTGCCCTACGGCGCCTCCATAATCATGTGGTGGTTCTGGGACGTTAAACACCACATATCAATCAATCGAATTTTTGTATATGCACATAATTTCTTTAGCTATCACCGGGGGCCTCGCCTAAACAAACACGTTGGTGGTTTCCTACGATGTTCTTTATTGCACTCCGGCGCTTTGAAACGCTCGGAGCGTTTGTTACAAGCTCAATATAGTATAGGTTCCCCAGAAACACAAGTGCTATCAAGTAAGTGCATTATACATTCACTGTGAGAAAGATAAATGAATAGCTTTGCTCAGGTGTTTCTATTTTTATATTAGTAAGGACTGATCGACGAACAATGCCCACGATGCTTCCACATTCGTTGACTGATCAAATAAGACCTTTGTGACCCACTTCATATCTGGTATTGCCGCTGCGATGCAAGCGATATGTCATAAAAATTTCTTGCACCCAAATGAGAGGCTCGCTGTTTTAGTAGGTGTTTCTTTGCTAGCGGCCAGGGCACCCTTAGAGCGTTGTTAGCAGTGCAGCCTTTGTCGGCGCTCGATCCAGCATCACTGCAGACGCAGTCGGACAGTCGGTGCGCGTGACATGAAGACAATGCAAGGCCGCGAACATAACGCTGCGGCAGTTGACTGCAGTAAATGCTCGTTTTGCGATCGACGAACGCACAGGCACAGTACTGTACTTCCATCGGTTACAATCGAGTCCCGTTCAGTACATCCAAGTATGCTGCGTCGAAAACACACACGTGGTGAACCCAACTAACTTACCGAGGTCTTCTTAGCCTGTAACGCAGCTGACGCTCGTCCATGCGGCGCTGACGCTAATGGTCTGCCGCTCGAGGCTGCACGTGCACGAAAGTGAGGGGGCGGGGTTGGTCACGTGATCTGCAGCTGAGGCATCGCCACGCCGGCGGTACGATTGAAACAAACCGACGAGGGACCGACGAGACTCTCGAAGTCGTCAGCGCGGCCGCCGGGGAACAGTTTGACCCGGCTCCCCGCCGCTCGTTTGCGCGGATAGACGACTGGGCGACCTCGTAAACGCCGGTTGCCGCGCTTTGTTTTTCCTTCTCGGCGCTTGCTTCCGACGCGCCGCGGTATCGGCTTGGCGGCCGCCACAACACGGGGAGTGCAGACGTACGCCGACGCGTCCGGCGAGACGGCGTTTGAACTTTGCGTGCACCCACAACGCCAGCTGCGGAGGGCTGTGCTAAGAGAGCGCGTTGCGCCTGGCAGGGGTGAGTGTCGTGCCTAGATCTACAGCCAGCTGTCGTTATCGCGTGCTTGGTTTACGTGCAAGGCTTTCCTTTCGCTTGGAAGGCACGAAGCTGACTCGAAAGTGAATAGGCAGCGCCAGTAGCGCCACCTAGTCGCAGAGGCGCAAGCATGGCGCCGTTTTCCATTGGTGATACCGGATTTCAAGCAGATGTTATAGTGGCCACTCGAGCTAACACATCCCTTCATCTCGTTGTGTACAAATAAGTTTTGGTTCCCAAATCTTCCGGTTCCAAAGATCGCAAACCCCTGTGCTAGTGCTGCAACACAAGCGCCGTTGCTTTCGCGCTGCAAGCGCGTCACAGATTCCAGAGATGAGCGACTAGAAATTTCAGTTCCAGTTTATTTCTATAGGAAATGGAGGAAGCCCTGAACAACAAGTCCCACTTGACAGAGATTAGATTCCCCTTTACAAGGCATACGACAGAGAGGGATATAATACGTACATGTATGTACATATATCATATTCAATATCACAGGAAGTGCAGACCATAGGCATGTATAAATTAAACAAGGCTGCTCTAATTGCCACAGACATCAAGAAACAAAGAAGTAAATACAAATATAGCTTTGAAACACGACAAAACAATTCGTGAAATTTCGCCCCATTTTGTGTAAAGTTATTCGTCAGTGTTACACCAGTAACATAAACAGATAAAAATATTGACATGAAATAAAGCGTTTGACGCCGTTATTTTGTTGCAAAGCAGTTGCATGGATGATTTTTTTTGTTATGTTGGTTATATAAATTTCTTGTTGAAAAAACTTATGCAACAATACAGGAAGGGTATATCGAAGGCTTTGATCAGAGTATTCGTTTTTTTGAAAATGGTACTTGCGAGAGTTCATTGTTACGCGTAGCGTGCAGGGGTGTTCTGGTTTTTAACTCCGCTAGGACAAGTAATATTCTGTTTGTATCTCGTTGAAAAGAATTGTAAAAGTGCCTACAATGTGTTCAGCCCCCCCCAAAAAACTCTCGACTCTTTATGGCGAATGTGGACATGCAGGAAATTGCTTCAAATGGACAATGGCCAATCCTTCTCTACTTTTGAGCGTTTACAAAGTGGCATGACAGGGCGTACACCTGGCGTCACTGAAAAACGTCACTGAGCTTCATCGGTGACGTCGATTTGTTCTATAGCGTTATTTTTTTTCTACACACTAAGTTTGCTGTCTATCGCAGCAACTCGTAGACGCAACGTTGTGACCGACTGTCAGAAAAAAAAAGCACGTTATCTCAATTCGCGCATAAAAGAACCGCTTCCATATACGTCACGATGCATGAACATAGCTCGATGCCGTTGCATCAGCCCGCCTACTGCAGTCCTCCACTGTGCAAAATAATTATTAGAGAGAGAGTCACCATAAAACGCGAGGAGGAGGAGAAAAACTTTATTCATCCCAAGAGGGAAAGGTGCGGTGGTGGAGTGTCAGAGGGGCCTACCCAGCGTAAGTCTCCGCTACCCTCTTGGCCCAACCCAAGATCTGGTCCTGGACCTCGGGCGCCGAGCTGCACATAGCAGCCTCCCACTGCTCCTTACTATTATTATGTAGAGAATTAGGTGGTGGGTTTCGAGTACACCCCCACATGATATAGTCTAGATTAGCTATTTGTTGACAGAAAATACACAAAGGGGGGGGGGGGGGTATACCACAGGGTTTATAAGATGGCGAAAAGATGGGGTAGGAAACGTACGGGTCTATAACGGGCGCCATAGTATTTCATGGTAGCACGAAGCTCCAAGATGTAAGGGGGGGGGGGTATATAGTGCGCTGTAGGTGGTAGTGATTTGTTATATCGTGGAAGGTCAAAAGATGATCTCTCGCGCTAAAAAAGGCCGCGTGGTCTAAGGCGCCATCAGAGGCCTGCGCTCGGCCGGTCATTCCTCGAGCACAGGTATAAGCCGCCTCATTGCCACTCAACCCCGCATGCGCGGGCGTCCATATGAGAGCAACGTCTTGCGTGGGAGAATGTTTCTTAATAATTGAAAGGGCAGTTGATGAGATGCGACCTGCGCTGAAGTTGCGTATGGCAGTTTTGGAGTCACTTACAATCATAGTGATATTGGGGATGGATAGACCTTAAGCGATGGCAGCCTCCTCTGCCTCCTCCGAAGAGTTGACAGTGATGGATGCCGTTGTGAGTGCCTTGCCGTTCTAGTCGGCAGCAGACAGGGCATAGGATGAGGAGGATGGGTATTCTGCCGCATCGACAAAGAGCACGTCATTGGCTCCATGCAATTTTTTCTGAAGAGCATTTGCTCTTTGGATTCGGCGCTTAATTATTATGATATGTTGGATGCAGGTTTTTAGGAAGGGGCGTTATGAGTAATTGTTTGTGTATGTTTTGGGGAATGTTGTATTTAGTATTGGTGAGTGAGGTGAAGTTCATTCCGGTAGACGATAAAATGTGGCGACCTGCGCTAGTGGTCGCGAGCCTTGCGTATTGAGCTGTTAAATGGGCTTCACAGATTTCACATAGGGTATTTATGACTCCTGTCTGGTGGAGTAGTGCGTTAGAGCTATTGATTGCAATGCCTAGCGCGTATTTGTGAACTCTGTGGAGGAGGGTGTTGACCGATTCCTCCTCTGCTAATTTAGGATAAAGGTAAGAAAGGGTATATGTGATTTTACTGTTCACAAAAGCTTGTATTACACGAAGTAACTCTGACTCTCGGAGCCCTGCATTTTTCCCTGCAATTCTTCCTATCATTCTTAGGGTGTTTTCAATAGTATTGCATAAAGCTTCGTGTGTGTACGTATTAAGTCGATTGGTTTGGATAATTTAAACCTAGCAGACGAATGCGTGATACTCTAGGAATGAGGCACCCATTTATGTGAACTTCGATCATTGGAACGTGCAAGGCTTTCCTTTCGCCGACGATGAGTTGGTAGAAGGAGTAACTCTGATTTAGTTGGGGTACAATAGAGATTCATCTGAGATGTTAGTGCTGCTATTATATCTACAGCTGTTTGTAGGGTGTCTTGAATATGTCCATCTGAGCCTCCTTTCACCCATAAGGTGATATCATCGGCATAGATGGACAAGTTCAAGTCAGGGATACGTTGAAGAGCGTTGGGTATAGATAGCATAGCCAGGTTAAAAAGGATTGGAGAAAGCACTGACCATTGAGGTGTTCCCAAGCTGCCTAGTGTATAGGGTGAGGAATGTTCTGGTCCTAACGTTAATGTAGCTGTACGGTCTGTGAGGAAGCTTTTGATGTAAGAGTAGATTTCAGCGCCACAAGAAATGCAGTTGAGGCCAGCATATATAGCTGAGTGGGCTACGTTATTGAATGCTCCATGTATGTCCAGACCAAGGATTGCCTGAGTATCCTCGTTCTGGTTAGGAGTTATGATGTCGTGTTGAAGGCGAAGCATCGCATCTTGCGCGGAAAATGAGGTCCTAAAACCAATCATTTCTGGGGGCAGTAGTCAATTATCCTCCACGTGTCTCTGGAGGTGTGCAAGCACAACATGCTCCATAGTCTTTCCGAGACACGATGTTAAGGAAATGGGCCTCAGATTTTTTACTAAGGGAGCTTTGTTCGGTTTAGGTATAAATATGACTCTGGCATCTTTCCACGAAAGTGGAAGGGTGCCCGTGTCAAAACAGTTGTTAAAGTATTTAATCAAAGCTTTAATAGAAATAGGGTCAAGATTTCTAAGTAATTTGTTGTGAACGCGGTCGGGGCCTGAAGCCGACGTGGTACGGAGTGTTGCGAGGGCGTGCCTAACTTCCGCTTCCGTTATCGGCCTATCTAATGACTCATTAGGTTTCCCTGTCTAAGATGGTATAGAATGCTTATGTAATTGAGGTAATTGCAGCGTGCGAAGGTTATCGAAGAGCTGTCCTAAATGGTCACTGTGTTTGTATAACAGTTTAGTGATAACGTGAGAGTGTCGTGCGCTAGAAGTGCTGGGGTCTAGCAGATGTCTAAGAAGTTGCCACGTTCGTTTATTACTGAGGTGGTCATGCATTGCTTCACAAAGCTGACCCCATTGTTGTGCAGCCAATTTAGTCGTGTATCGTTCGATTTGTTTGTCTAGCATCACTATCCTAATGTGGAGTTTTCTGTTGTGGTGCTGGTGTTGCCACCGTTTTAGAAGTGGCTGTTTTGCTTCCCACATATGGAGAAGCTTGGAGTCGAGAGTAGTTATCGGGGTGTCGGGGGGTAGTGTTTTCGTGTGAATTTCAACATATTTTTGAAGCTGTTGAGTCCACTCGGTAAGGTCTGCAATACGTGAGGGAGTGGTGCTGTTGCGGGTCTCTCTAAATTTGTCCCATTCTGTGAGCATCAGTGGTTTAGGTGCAATGGGTATGTATTTTAGTTGTAAAGTAATACTAATAATGGAATGATCACTGCCAAGATTAGTTTGGGTGTTAGTCCGAACCATTGTGGGGGCATTGCGCGTGAGGGTAAGATCGGGGGATGTATCTTTGTTCACACTATTCCCCAAACGAGTAGGCTCCTCCGGGTCATTATGCAGTGTAAAACGATGTGCCTGAATATGGGACCAGAAGGCTCTACCTTTTGGTGTAGATGCGGTGTAACCCCACGCTGGGTGGGAGGCGTCAGAATCTCCCACTATGAGGAGGATGTGTTTGCCTGCCGAGGATGTAGCTCGGGCAAATAGGGAATCGAAGCGGTGCCTTTGCTCTTGCGGTCTACTATGTACGTTGAGAATGTATAAGAATGGTGAGTTAAGTTTATCAGGTAGTATTTGGAGAAAGTCGTGCTCAATGTTGATGTCAGCAAATTTGGATAGGTAACTGTAAGCTACTTCTGAGTCAAGACAGCAGTGTTTGGTTTAGTATCAGCCGGGTTTTGATGCGTTCTTTAACCTGGCAGGTGCACTACACCATTTGTTTCTTGTAACGCAATGATTGCGGAGGGGTAGTTTGTGATTTGATGTACTGCAGGAGGTTTGCCTTTTTTCGGTGAA